AGGCCAGTTCCAAGTTCTACTCGCTTGTGATGGTCAGCGTGAACACGACCACTGACGTGACGGCTTGGCAGTCGCACGACTTGTGCTACCTTGCCGTGATGTGGAAGTCGAACTCGACGGCGATTGGCCCAGACGGCCTGCCAGCCGACCGCATCCAAGAGTGCATCCAAGCCGTCAAGTACGATCCCGAATACTACGGCTACTCGCCCGTCCTCTTCGAGGAGTACCACGCGGGCAACGCCTTCTGCCCCGACCCGGAAGACCTGGAGGACCCGCACTTCCCGTCCGGTTTGAAGGACATCCTCCAGAACGGCCACTACGACAACGGCCAGGGCAGCATTGATAATGGCATGAACATGATGGAGGACCTGCAGCCTGGCATGATCTGCGAGCATGGTATTCCGGTCCCGGATGACGCCTTCGATGAGGCGGAGATGGACGACGATGCGCGCGAACCGCCACCGGCTGAGGTGAAGGAGGCCGCGTGCGGTAACGAGTGCGTGAACCCTGGGGATGGATCCATGAAGGCGGAGCTGATGCAGCACGCTGACAGCTTCAAGCACATGCCGGAAACCTGCTTGGAGTTCACCAAAATGTACTTGGGCTTGCCGGACTACGACCCGGACACGGGTATGACTACTGAAGCCGTGCCCAAGGATTACTGCGGAGAGTTCCACGACATGAACGTCGGTTACTTGATGGAGTACGAGATCTCCATGGCCTTCTCTCATGGCGAGTTCAAGCGTGGCGAGATGCGTCACCCGGCGTTGGCGGACTACGTGCACGAAGTCGAAGTGCGTCCTTGTGTGTCCAAGGGCGTGAAGGAGCGCGCTCACTTGGAGCTGATGGTGCGCAAGCACGGGGATGTGGACTTGCATGAGGCCATTTACCATCAGATCCCAGAGGGTGAGATGCGTGTCGAACTGCCAAAGAAGAAGGCCGAATCTGGTGGCTTGTGGAATGCCCTGAACCCGCCGGATAAGAGGGACCCAGCCGCCGTTGGCTTCGTCACCATGACCGACGTCGTCGCCTACGATCATAAGTGCAAGGACGCAGCGGGTGCCAAGGAGACTGTCGACCAAAAGGCCTGCGACGAGATCAAGCGCGTCATGCCAGTGCTGCAGCAGACCATGGCCCGCGGACCCGCAGAAGACGCTGCTCCGGTGGAGGAGTCTAAGGAGAGCGCGAAGATGAGCCGCGAGGATATGATGCACTTCGCTATGATGGCTGACGAGGGCAACGCAGCAATGGCGCAGGGTGAGGAGGTAACCATGCAAGACTACGTTTGCCACAAGGTCATGACCGAAGATGGCGGATGCAAGTCGGAAGCCTGCGCCCGTCAGATGTTCCACGAGCAGAGCGGTGGCAAGGACACTGTGTCCGCGCAAACCATGCACACGCCAGTTGGTACTTGATACTCGTTGTCTAAAAACAACTTCGATAGAATTAGCTAACCCTGTTTCTGTACAGCTCCTAGATTTTAAGTAACTCTGAGCTGAGGGTAAAAACAAAGTTCACCATGTCTCCTCCTGAAAATTCTTATCAAAATCAAAAAATGGTGACATTTTTATTCTAAATCTAATCTTACAGTATCTTCATCATTCCCCATCTTCCCCAACTCAACATCAGGCGTCGCCGGCGAGACTGACGCGACTATGGGTACAATGATGCCAGCTGAGGCCGAGCAGCGAGCTCACGAGGAGGACAAGGCCCAAGCAGACATGATGGTCGCTGAGGGTATGAAGACCGCGTTCGCCGAGTCAAAGTCCATGACCGAAGGCCTCACTCACGCTCTGACCACGATGGGCCGCCGCATGTTGTTGCGTCGTGCCCGTCAGCTCTCTGAAGACGGCTATGCGCGTCCGGATCACTTTCGTCGTGCACTGGGAGAAGTCGAAAACAAGCCTCTGCGCCGCATGTTGTCCCCCATGTTCCCGGACATGGGCATGGACACGACCAAGATTGCCATCGGCGAGGTGAACGATAAGTACCTGTACAACAGCACTGGCGCTGTAATCCGCGACGACTATGGCAACATGATGATGGCCCCGCCAGAGGGCGATGCACCGTCTCCCGCGGTTTTGGCCGCCACTGGCGTTCCGCAGTCCTACCTCGACGAAGCGTGCGATGTCGTGACCAAGGTCGTCCGTGCAACGAATGCTACCATGCACCAAATGCGCTTCTCGACCAAGGGCTTGACCGAAGATGCTGAGTCCGAACGTCAGCGTCACGAAAACCTCGATGAGCAAGAGCGCTTCCAGGCGCGTTTGCTGCGTGAGGGAAAGGAATTCATGGGCTTTTGCAAGAATATGACGATGATGAAGACGCAAGAGCAAATCATGAAGCGCAATACGCAGAAGAATCAGACCCGCACGACCCTGATGGAGCGAACCAGCACACCGAAGAGGTATCTAATTTTTACTTTGTAACTGGTGTCTAATATTATGTGTAGGTGCAGAGGACTCAGATGCAAGGATATTAATATTAGAGGGATGTTGATATAATCATGTTTTATAGATTGCAGATTTCAGATTGTCAATAAGTTGTAGGTGCTTGGGGACAATTCTCGTCTTGGTACTTAATAAAAACCTAAAAGTGAAAAATCCCTAAAACCTAAAGTCCTTTGTTCTCCATTTTTGACCAGCCAACCGAAGCTCGCTCCCGAGGATGATCCGGCCACTGTGATTGAGGACGACCCACCGCGTGACATCAAGTATGAGCAGGCCGAATCCTTCACCAAGGTGATGGAGCTGACTATGGGCGGCGATGACGCTCCAGCTGTCGACGTACTCGAATCCGCTGAGCACACCGTCACTCGTGAGGAGTTCGAGAATGGCTGCCTGAACGACCCAACCATGATGGGCCAGGACCCCCAGATGGTGTAACAACAGTGCGACGAGGAGTGGACACACTACCAGAACCAAAACCCGAATGCCAACACGGGTCCCAACGGTGGCGCGGACACTGTGCCGAAGCGTCTCTTGACGAACAACGCCGCTCCCGAAGATGGCAGGATGGAGAACGAGATGGTGTGCGACACTGCTGAAGCCGAAGTCGATTTGCCGGCATCGATGTCCGGCGCTTCCACTGGTGCGGACATGGCGTTCACTCCTCCATCCTACACTTTGCGTAAGTTGATGCAGACTCGCGTCAAGGGAGCCAAGCGCGATAGCCGTCGCAAGCACTTGAAGCGCCGTCTGGCCATGATGGAGAACCCGAATGGTGGCTTGTCCGCGATCTCTTATGGTCCTCGTCGTATGAACAAGCGCGTGATCCTCGATTCGCCTCTGACCAAGGACGGCCTGCGCAAGCTGACCATGGGCAACCCGGGAGAGCAGATGATGATGGCCCCATCGTCGGAAGGATCGCACATGCTCACGTGCCCCGAACAGAAATTGTTGCTGGAAGGTACGGCTATGCCAGCGCAGATGGCGCCAGATACAATGGAGGATCAGATGGAACACATGGCTGAGGGAGATCCGATGATCCATGAAGGTAAAAAGGGGTTTTACATTTTTTAGGTTTTTTGAGGTTGAGTAGCTGTTATTAGCTGAGAAGAGTTAGAATAAGAGGAAGAGCATCCACCGATGATCCGTTATAATTAGATTTCTTGCTCCTTGCGTTCGAAAAGGATCTACTTGAGCTTCAATCTTGTCCAATTTCGACTTGGCATCAAATTTATTTTCTCATCCACATCGATCTACTTCACACCCTAGTAAATCTTTGAACATCTCAAAATTTCTTCAAACACAAAATTACAGGAGTCGCCCGTCAGATGCAGCAATCTTGCGATGTCGCTAACCATGACTACGACCCAGCTGCGGACATCATGCACGACGACTATGACGACAGCGGAGACTACTATGACCCCGACAAGGAGGACTGGTACGCACACCCAGACATGTACGAGGACTACCGACGCCGTATGGAGGTCAAGGGCATCAAGGTTGCTCCTACCGCTCACGCCCGCAAGCTCGAACAGAAGGCTAAGCTGACCAACATTCGTGCCAAAATGGAGCGCAACCGCTTGGCGCAGATGAAGATGAAGACCGGCGATCATCGTAATCTGCAGTACATGTACGATCCCTACAGCACGATGTACCCACCCATGTCCGAGCCGAGCACGTATGCGCCAGCCGCCTACGGCACGTCCTATGACATGAGCTTCGGAAGCAGCACGTACTCGCCGCACTTGAACATGTTCTCGGAGCAGACGACGTACATGCC